ATGCGGAGCCAAGAAGAGTTCTTTTTCAGTTTTATGCCTCTGAAGGACTCTCAAGAAACAGCATGGAGGAACTTTTGAACCCTGAAGGATTACGAGGGGTAACAGCAAGAGCCTTCCGAGCACTTCTTCGTTTTCTTCGGGAAAGCGGCCTTGCAGATAGACTTTGATTTCTGCTCGGAGGGGACCATTGTCGACACTCTTTGAGCACCTCACTGGCCAAACGAAAGAGGCCCCACAGAGCAAATTTGCGACAGGTTCGTGGCGCGCCTCGCCCGGTGGCGCACGCTTCAAGCACGGTGCCGCAAACTAAAGCGAGCGCCACCGGGAAATGTGCGTCGTTTGTTTGTCGCGGGTTCACTTCAAGGAGAGTGAACCCGTGAGCGAAACGTTAGGGCTACATTTTTACATTAACCTCTTTCTTTTTTTTGTATATTTCTCTCCTCCTCTTTCCTCTTTTTGTCCCTTTCCCAGATCCACCAGGTAGCGACTCGCCCCATGAACGGAGGCCCACACATCTCCTGGTGCCCCTTTCTTCTCGTCACCCCAGAAATAAACAAACAAACAAACATGTAAACGCCGCTAAAAAGCAACAAGGTATTGAACAGGATGTACGATATACTTATAGTAAATAAAATATGTTTCTCCGAGTAGATTACTTTAACAATTAGACTGATCACGAGGCACAATAACTAGTTTCGTTTTAGCTTCAACTGGGTTCTAGAGAGCCGTGTAGCACTATCTCAGTTCAGTTCAGTTCAATTACAGTTGGGGCCGATAGCTGTGATTGAACTCAATGGCAGTTGAGAGCGCCCGTGTAACTAGGGTATTAGAGGCATGTTTGCGAATGCATACGTATGTATGCTTCAAAGATGTAGGCAGCCAGCTTTTTTTGTGTGTGTGTGACAAATGTCACAGAAGACCGTCATAAAAGGAAAAGACACGCCTCTCAGACAGGGTATGCAGACTGTCTTTTCTACGGTGCACTAGCAATATGACCGCAGCTTTAGTCTATGGTGGAGCCATAAACGTGACCGGGTATTACGGTACATCAAGAAGCAGTTTGCTCTGTGCTCCATTTAACAGAGGCACTAGAAAACGGCTGCATTATGTGAATGGGTTCTCAGCGTAAAGACTCTCAGTTTCAGGCAGATACAGGCCCCGGAAAGCATCAGTGCCCGCCTCCCCTCCCCCCCCCCCCCCCCTCTTTCCAAACACACACACTCACACAAACACACTCGAGTTCCTCTTCCTTCTTTCCATTATGGTAACGTATAGAATTATAAATAAAACAACTGGTCCTGTAAGATGCTACTAGTGCCACTAAATAAGCTACGCTTCAGAGTAACGACACTTCGCCATATTGTGTCTTAAAATTATGGTTGCCAGTTATCTGAAGCTTTATCTGAAATCACAGGAAATGCTTTTCCGCCCTCCACAAATGTTTAAACCGTTCGCGACAGAGCAAAGCAATATTACATGACCTTCCTAACACCGAATCTAATGCTGAGGAAGTCGCACTTTTGAATCATGACGATCGGCCGTTGCGTCTGTTCTGCATACGAGCCAAAATGGCGGCGCCCACAACAATGTCGGGGAACGGAGTGCCGATACTCTAAGCGCAGCTCATTTAGTGGCTCTAGATGCTACATATCGAGAGAAGAAATAGTTTGTAGGATGTTGTTCACGAGTGTATCAGTATAAACGTTGTAATGCGACGTTGTTACTAATTTTTTATATACTACCCGGGAGACATCGTTTCCATGTCATGGAAATGCAAGCTAGTAAGTATTGTTGCCACGACTTCAGTAAATTGTTTTGTTTGATTGACCGAATAATTGATTCGTGCAATGAATATTTGCGAAGTGTAGCATCCAGTAGAAAAGTACACGCAAACAAATCTCGGCGCTTACCCAAAGCCAAAGAAAAAATTGACCGCATCTACACGTGGCGAATGCTGATTAAGGCGAAGCTCTGGTGGTGCTTGTCTGCGTAGACGCTGAGCCGCAGCATGCCGAACCTTTCGTTCGTTTTCATTTATGTCAGAAAGAGAGTGTGTGGAATGAAACGTGGTTATATACGCATTTGAGCATTTGACCGCAGCGCCCTCTCATCTATAAACATTAAGCCAATGCATGCCAAGTAGTAATTAGTAATTAAAGCAAATAAAACTCTTAAGGACCTGGTTACCTGGAGTAATTCTAATTCTTTAAAAATTAATGAGAGCAAAACAAAAGCAATCTTATTTCGTCCAAGAAACAAGAATAATAATATTACCAGCGATTTTATTCTGAATTCAAAAATAATAGAAGTTATTTCTAGTTTTAAAAAGCTTGGTGTCATTTTCACAGATCGAATGAGATGGGACGAGCATGTGAATTATGTATTGGTAAAGCTGTCACGCGTGGTTGGCGCGATATACCGTCACCGCCATATTTTGCCAAAACATGTAAGATTACTAGTTTATAATTAATTATTTCTTTCTCATGTGAACTATTGCCATCTAGTCTGGGGAAATACAACAAATGCTAATTTAAATAAAATACTTGTCCTTCAAAAAAAGTTTTTAAGAAACATTTGTAATGTTCCATATGACCATCCTAGTGCGCCTCTTTTTAAAAGCCTGAGTCTGATGCCTGTAATGTGTCTCTATCAATATCGACTGTGTATAACCTATAAATCACACGTAGAAAAAAAATGCTCATAAATTTCTGGAACTTGTGTCCCTAACACCAAGAATGACCGCATATCCCACCCGTAACGCGGAGTACTGGATGCTACAAAAATACAAAACAACATATGGCGAGCAAATGACATCATGTACACTACATAGACCACTTAACCTTCTCCACACCGAAAACATCCACCCTCTTACCATGTCATTTAAAGACCTTCGAGCATTCTTTTCTTCTAATATGAGTGTGTAGCAAATGTATAATGTTTTCCTTTTGGACAATTACTAACATAAATGTATTACCTTACTTTTTTTTTTTACCTTACTCTGTTGATTTGAACTGTGCTTTGCGTGTATGTATTCTTTTTCTGTGAACATCCTTTACATGAATTTGTGTCTTTTTTTGTTTTGTTTTCTGTGGCACTGCTGCCAAATGTAAGGATGGGGGGCCGAGGACTTGTCAAGCTGCATCATGCAGCTTTTTTCCTCGGTCTCCCTCCGTCATACTCTTTTGACGGAAAATAAAACATATTATTATTATGTTTAACGCGATTATATACGCATTTGACCGCAGCACCCTCTCCTGTATAGACGTTGAGCGGCTACATGCGACGTTTCGTCCACATCCCCAGCTCTTGAGTTACTACCACATCTCAGAGCCCCCTACTCGTCCCGCAGTTGTGGCCGAGTGGTTAAGGCGATTGTCTAGAAATCCATTGGGGTATCCCCGCACAGGTTGGAATCCTGTCGACTGCGCAAACATATTTCTTCATCATTTTTTTTGCCCTACGGGAGCACGTGATCACGTGAGCTCACGACCACGAGCACGAGCACCAGCAAGATCGATGTGAGTACGGACGCCGGACAGACAACACTAGATCCTAAGGAGCTTCGTCCCTAAAACTGTCAATCAGAATGCATTTTGTAAGTCTATCGTGAGCACAGTTTCTGCATCGTGGTCACCAACATCGACGATATACCCCTGTTTTACTGGCACATATACTCCGTTCCCATCTAACCTTGCAGGAATGGAATCTATGGGCTCGACGAACAATTCTATCACTTTCCGCATACTCGCGCGCAGACAACCCTGGCTCTCTGTCTCCAAGGGAGCGTGATCACGTGATACAAACCCGACGGCTCACTTGCTCAACGGCCCGGTAGCTTCCCCCGCCCTGTCAACAGATACGGTTACGAGATGTTTTTGGTGGCGGCCTTTTATGGGTTATACCCGTGACGTTATGACAATTATTATCAGCCGCGAAGGACAGGTTCGATTGAGTTTGTGAAATGCACGGTTCATGCTCATGGCGTTCTTATACCTTACCGACACCATTGATGTTCACCGCCTGACATTACCATTATTTCCGTCGAAGAAAGCATAAGTAATCCCACTAGACGCGCAATGGTGAGTGTCTGGCCAATCCTGGAAGGCCTATCACAGCGCTTTTGTTTGGTCTCACACATCGTCATTGACATGTCTTGAAGAGTAGTGCTTTTCATCTCAAAGACCCTACAGAAATACGACTCTCACAACTTCACACGCCGTCCAAACTTCAGTATTCATTTATTTGGCACCGGTCCGGCTGCTGCGAGAATTGATGTCCAGCAGCGATTGCACCAACTACCACCACGTTTTGTTGAACCAGCCCTTCTTTATCGTAGTTGGTCGTCATAACGTCCGAACACGCTAAGTCTTCACAAATTAAAAACTCTTTGAGATCATGCACATCACGTCGCTTGTTGGTCTCAGTTATGTGCAGGAAAAGCACCATTCTCACTGGAGACCTTCTGCAGCGCAAGAGTCTTGCCGAACGGGGTGACAAACGAAAGGTCCATTTGCAATTGAGAGCGCACTTCTAATTGTCACATTCCACGGCAGCACCGCAAAGAGAAGGCCGCAGCTGAGCAGAGAAGCAACGATGACGTCGTGTGGGAGTTCGAGCAAGCTGATGAAGTGATGAAATGTCTAAATGGAGCCTGCCCCCGCGAAACACACGGAGCCTTTGTCACCAGGACTCACAGAAGGTCTGAAAAATCCTCCTAATCCGGCGCACATGGTATTTTTGTGTCCGAATTCATGTGTCTTCACTCGTATGGGCGACTTCAAGGAACAGCAGAAATCCTTGCCGCCGAACGCTCCGCGGTGTTGTAACGGCTTGATGTCTTTTCTTACGGTTCATCCGCCTGGATCGCACCACGTACCACCGCAGCGACGAGTCTTCGATCCCAAGCACGACTAACGCGTAGCACAGCGACAGTTCATGCAGATGAATGGGGAACACAGATTGTCCTATATGCGAAGCAACCGCACACTGATAACCACCCTTCAGATGGACAACGAGGGCCTCTTCTTGCCGTTCCTGTTGCTCTTGTGCGACTTGCCGAACACCATGCCGATCATCTTGGAAACCGTCATGGCGGCGCCGGCCTTCCGCCGGATCGGCAGCGTCTTGAGCGCCTGCAGCGCCCTCGTCTCACGGATGAGGCTCTGGAAGGCCAGGGACACCCCGACGTAGTTTTCTGCGGCCGAGACCTCGTAGAACTGGCAGTGGAAGTGCAGCGATGCCTCGTGGCCGTCGTCGACGCCCACCTGTCGGCAGTGCTCCAGGTCGCGCTTGTTGCCCAGCAGGATCATGGGCGCCGAGCGGGCCCCCCGAAGCGCCACCAGGGTCTCGAGAAGGGCGCGCGCCTGATCGAAGCTGGCGCGCTCGCATATGTCGTACACGAGCACGAAGGCGTCCGCCCACGTGATGTGGTCGTAGAGGCAGCCCGTGACCTGCGGGAGCGAACAGCACACATCCTTCTTCATTGGCCGCCCATTATTCGTTGGATGGGCGAAACAGAATCACAAGGGTGGGTAGGGAAAGCATTAAACAGAAGTTCCGTGGAGGCCTCAGAATGGCGGCCGATGCTTCTTCAAGCTAAGATTATTAGGGAAACTGCTGGCCGTCGCTCGGGAGCTTCCAGGACAGTTCTAATCAGCACTCTCGCCTTACTTTCTAGGAGGCGGTGGTTTTACTTGTGGTCGCAGTCTACACAGGGACAGTGAACATGACGTTTCGGATGCTCATTGTTGCATCTCAAAGTGTGCTTTTGAGTAAAAAAATATTATTTTTTTCTTTTAGCGTCGTTATTCGTTAGATGCGCTATATACTCTATCATTTAAAACGTCACTCACCATGCAACACGAGGAGTCGAGGATCTCGACATCTGTTGCCACGTTGTCGAAGGTAACGTTGTGCCGATACAGCATATCTGCACAAGAGACAAAAAAGCAAACAAGACACATGAGTATATGCGCCCACCCATGGCGAACAACTATGAGCAGGAACGAAACAAAATTCTAACGTCCGCCATGAGCGTTACTCTATTCAACACAGTCAGAAACAGCAACGACAGGTGTCGCGGGATAGAATGTATATTTCAACTGGACCCATGTGTAAATCTGCTCTTTTTTTTTCTTTTTTTAAGAAATAGGTCGGCCGTCTATTTAGAGGCTTTTAGGAGATTCTCTTTCATGTCTCTGCTATGCGGGGAGCAAGTTCGTCTGCTCCAGGGTGTAAGATAGGCAGGTGGGGAAACGGCCCATAGAAGCCTACCGCAGCGCCGTGACCGGATTGTGTACTCGTCTGCTTGCGGGTACCCCCGATTTGCGACAGATGGCGCTGCGGCGAGAGGAAAAAAAAATCGGAATCGAATTCGCATGGAACTTTATGGGAGAGTGCGCAAAATAAACCGAGGGCACGACATTCCTTCATTAAAAATCCACGAGAAATCATCTCCGTCAGTTTAGCCGGTCGCCACCGGTAACCCACCCGGAGTGAGAGTTCGCGGTGCTCCGCATAGATGGCGCCACAGAAAAAGAGAAACCCGAGGGGGACACAATCCGGTCGCCCATTTGGCTCTCGTTTCCCCACCTGTCTATCTTACACCCTGGTCTGCTCCTTGCGCAAGGCTTACGGTGACGTCAAAATGCCGAGCTCTGATTGGCTCTGTCTGGAAGGATAGTGGGTAGACCTCGATGCTAGCTGACTTGAGGTCTACCCACTATCCTTAAATCAGAGCCAACGAAAGACCGGCGTTATGACGTCACCGCAACCCCTAAGCAAGAAGCAGACGGACTTGTGCTCCGCATCATGTTTACGCTTCTTATTTCGTGATTTGTTTTTCGGCGTTCTGATCGGCTAATGCATCACTCTCATTAACTGCGGAGACTACGATGAGTCTACGCGCACCTTTGTGCTAGCAATCGTAAATAAAACGTGCAGTGTGTGGGACCCGCTCAGAAGAATCATGCTGACTGCCAAAAAAAAAAAAAAAAAATAGAGTCGCTCTGCTTGCTTTGTCCTGGGCCAGTATGACCGTTACACAAGCTGTACAAGTATGAAGCAATCACTAAGTTTGTGTTCACTAAAGTTTCGACGGAAAAACTTGCGTTTAAAAATTTTATATTGTATTTATCATAACATGACTGGTATTATTAGCTCATCTTATCTTTTAAGCCCTAATTACTTTTCTCGCCGAAAAGCTCATGAACATAATATACGTGAGTACAGGACCAGGACTGAGCGGTGCAGAAATTTCTTTTTTTGTCAGGACTGTCAAGGACTGAAACGCATTGGATAAAACAATAGTCTGTTCTGCAAACGCCGAAACATGTTTTTTCGATTTTGTTTGCCCCTCGCAATAAAGGTTTAACAGGCGCTGCGCTGCAGGAGTTTCACGAATAAAGAATTTAACTGAGCCGATTAAACAAAACTTCCATTCAATGATTCACCATTCGAATGGCGTTTCCTACAGAACGCTATTTTTTCTTGTCAGACGGCGAGGGTTCATAGGAAACGTAAACCGTACTGAGACCCCCGAATGAAAGTTGGTGGTACTCTTTAAGTGGATTAGTTTCGGCCATGTACCGTGTCAAGGAGCACTGCTTCATTTCTCACCTTTACTCGAGCTGTACTCCCCGATGTACCGCTTTGTGAGGTACCGGACTGTCACAGCTGCAGAAAAGAAGAAAAAAAAAAACACTCATGAGTGATCTGTTCTGATATTAACGTTGTCATCACTTCTTAAGTCTTACGAGAATACGATTAAGGGGGTTTACGAAGAGTGGTTCGAATAGAGTAACTCAGTGTCATGCCTAGCCTTCACAGTGCAAGTGAAAGCCACGACGTACCGGCTTTCTCTACACGGTTGAAGCTAGAGGAAACAGTGCGTTATTTCATTCAGATCAGTAGTCGCATACCCCAAAAGGGTTGACATCAGCCGAACCTTTCATCGAAACTGGGCAGTTCGTTTCGATATATATTAAAACGAACTGCCCAGTTTTGTTGAAAGGTTTGGCTGACGTCTTACCATAGTGGCATGCGAATATGGATCTGAACGAAATGTCACCAACCATGCACATCATGTGTGCCTGCAGTCGTAAAGTCACAAGAAGAAAAAAGAAAAGCAACTTCCCCACATAGTGCAGTTGCAGTTCTTACAAGACTTGGTTGTCAGAGAGAAAAAAAAAAAAGAAGAACGATACATTTTGGCTTTGAATGTGTACGTTTGGATAAATTATGAGATGAGGAATCTTAAATCAGAAATGCTCCGCGAGTGGTCGAGCTTTTGTTTTACTGCGGTTCCTGGGGTAGAAGCCAGTATCGAAATGTTAATCTCATTTAGTGGCAGGTTCAAAGGAGTTTCCTCAAGGCATGCTTCCCGAACACCAGATGGAGCGAAATCTCCCCGCTGAAGATGATGTGAACCAACATTGTGTCAACGCAGATATGGGCAATCACCGTATTACCACACGCACCGCGTGAAAAAATCTCCCCTCTGCACCGAAAATATAAAACCGCAGTCTCTCTGCTGGATGCACCGCATACAAAACACACGCTTCAAGCATCTTCAAAGCACGTTTGCTCGGTACAAATCTATGCTTGGAACATGTCGGTAGGCACTTTTTGTACGACCATATGAGGCAGGACCTACATACAAGAAAGAAACGCACGTTCTCGAGACTTCATTTTGTATGATGTGTTAGAGTGACCGCGGCATTCACGGTCAACCAACTTCCCGAAAAAGCCAACCGGAAATCGCACGAAGAATAATAAGAAACTAGTAGACGAATTATATATATATATATATATATATATATATATATATATATATATATATATATATATATATATAAAAGAAGGACGGGAGGGTTACTGAACAGCGATTCCAAGATTAAAACGTGGTTCTTTTAAAATGCAAAACGCAACAAAATCTGGGCGGTAGCTGTGTCTTCAGACCGTCTTCCGGAGCGACACCGCCACCGCCAACGCGGTGGGCGTCTTGAACCCAGAGCAAAGCAGCCTGACCAGCTTATCAGTCCGACGTGTATAGCCGTAACCTGCCAATTCCGGTTCGCAGTCGCCATCTTGTTATCGCGCTTATTATTTACTGCTTATTTTGGCGTACGGCAGCGGCGCAGCGAACGCGGAGAGAATGCTGCACTGACGCAGGAGGAAGGCTGTTCCTCGCAATGCCTCAGAAGCCACAGAAACGATTCGATGCGCCAAACGCCGCGAACGCCGTCGGACATCGAACGCCGCCGCGCCGCCAAAAAGCTGCCGAAGCCACGTTCGCCCAATCGGTCGGTATTGTGCGCCGAGCTTGACGTTAAAGGGTTCGAGTTTTAAGACTTCCGTACCGCAATCTTTCGAATCAGACGTGGCTACAAATAAGAACCGTGCACCGACCCGTGCTGCTTTTAGAACGGCTGACAAGCGAACGCGTCTAAACGGCTTTGATTCGCGCGCGCGAAAGAGAGAATGTCTAGTAGTGTCCTCTGTTAGGCCTTACAATGAACCGCTACGAACGCTGTACGAGCAACCGGAGCCAATCCATAGGTCGGGAAGTATCACGTGACCTCTCGGTTGGGAGGAGCGACCCGCGGAGCGTGAACACTCGTGGTATACGCGTGGAGCGCTTGACTGGCTAAGATGCATGGCACGTAGCGTTTTGCAGCGTTCTATCTGCGGCGTATTGTTGTTTTCTTTAAGATACGAAAACCGGACAGGAAGTTGTTTGTTTGTGTGCGTGTTTATGCATACGGAAGTGGTGCTTTTCCTGGCTCTCTGGAGCTTTGACACTTTTGCGGGGACGCCCCAACGGGCCACCGTGAAAGCGTCGCGAAACGATGAATGTCTCCGAGCAGCTCCTTCTTGCCAATTGGAGATTGATTCGATATGTGGCTGTTGCATGCGGGTCGTTGTAGTCATAGAGCTACGATGGTCTTCAATTTTTGTTTCCTTCTTTCTGACTGCCTATTTCGGGCTAGGGACCTACGGAGACACCTCTCAGAAGCAGGGCGTTTTTCACATCCGGTATCGCCCAACGTGTGGTTATAGACTGGTTTGGACGGTCCCGTTGGTTTCGTTGAGCGACCGAAGAGACAGGGACGAAAAAATTTGCAAGTGATGCAAGACACGCCGCGGTGTTCCGGTCGTTGCTGTCGTTTTCGTTTGGGCTAGAGCGAACGGGCTACGAGACAGCGAATCATTCTGCCTGACGCCGTAGCGTCATAAACAGCGGCTGTTGTGTCGGAGGCAACATGAATGGTGCCACCGGGCGAAGTTCGTCGGTTACAACTAATAGCAGTGCGCAAAAACACAAGGCCGAAATGTCGACCAACTTTACGAATAATATGTTTTAAAAACTCCAACAACCGTCTCAAGTGCGTTTTCTGCAATATATATATATATATATATATCTTTTTTGTCTAGAAATGAGTTGTGTAATGCAAGATGCAGAATAAGGATACGACACACACAAAAAAACAAACAAAAAAAAACAAAACAAGCGGTGCATGGTATTTTAAACATCTCATCTGAGAACCTATCGTACTCCCCCCGGGCTTTCATATTTGCACGCCGTCACGTGACCAATTGGTACCACCGGCTCTTGCCAGGTGCACTTTAGGTGGTTCCAGCCAAAACCATCGTTTTTTTGTTTCAACAACCAAATTTTTGCTAGACTGAACTACTTCGCGCAGTGCGTTAATAATCCGTAAATGGCCATATTTTTTTTTCTTGATGTGACAACGAGTACAATTGTATTATAAACTTCGTCTTCCGCTGGGGCTCTTTCTATCGTTCTTCGTGATTGCTGTCTCCGTGTTTTGCAACAAAACGAACTCACGGACTTTTTCTTTTTTCTTAGGGTGCATGCCTTGTGCTTTGTTCAACCTAAAACCAAGGTCACACTCCTAATACATCCTACAAAAGACAGCCTGCGGACACTGTCTCAAACGTGTTTCTTCCTTGGATGACGTCACACTGGTCCTACAAAAACTGTCTGTAGCCGTGTTCGAAGCATGTACGTAGCAAACATGCTTTGGAAATGGTCGAGGCGTGTCCGCAGACGGTTCTGTCATCCTGTCTGCAGAGAAACTCCGTGTCTTTTGTGTACGATGCGCAAGCAATGTGACCAGCAACAGCAACAGCAACAACAACAACAACAACAACAACAACAACAACAACAACAACAACAACTACAGCAACAGCAACAGCAACAGCAACAACAACAACAACCACAACAACAACAACAACAACAACGACAACAACAACGACAACGACAACAACATGCATACACGCATTTTCACAAGGAGAAAAATAATGTCACGGGTTTTGAGTGTGCTGCAAAGTCGACCAAAATGAGAGAAACAACGTCACAGGAACACCCCCAACGGAAGGACAGTTTACAGAGGTGTCTCGCATGGGTCTGTGTGTTCTTCTCCGCCGTGCCCGTGCAATAACACCCCCCCCCCCCCCCCAATAAGACAAAGACCGGCGAATGACGTCATTTTAGTAGATCCCGAAGCGGCAAATGCTCTGAGGCTCGACGAGACAAGCAACAAAGCGCGCTGGCGGCGGTGCTCACGCATGCTAGGTGGCGCAAGACGCCGCCCGATTCAAAGGGTTCGGCCTCATTCATCCATCCATCTATCCAGGCGGCGCTGCGTGAATCCGCTAGCGATGACGATTGGGAAAGGATGGGAACGGGCCTTGTCTTCTAAGTGATATTGGCCCACGTCTCGCGGAGTTTTCCCTGTCACGTCACGTGTCACGGCTAACGACGTTCCACAATCCGGAGGCCGGCAGCATCGCGTCGTAAATTCCCGGCTTCGTCTTGACGACTCCGAGGGACACATGCCTCCTCCACTCAGCCGGGCCTTTTGTGTTGTCTCTAAGGGTGCCGCGTCGCGCACCGAAGAATAGAATAAAAATAGGAATGAGTTCCGGTATATGGATGACGACAAATCGTTTTCTGCAACCTAAAACTTGCCGCCCTGTCTTGAAAGGATGGCTCTAGCCAGGAAGCAAGTGGTGTGAACGTGATGAGTCACACTCTATGCGTTTGTTAAGGTGTCTGTGATGTAGAAGAGGACATCTAATTGGGGCACCATGTGTACTCCGGGACTTCTGAGATCGTTTATCTTCGTGTGAACAAACAGGGTTCGTGGAGCGATTTAAACGTTTACTACATCGGGTCAGTGAATTCTCTGGGATTCTTCCGGGCCACAGCAATGCACCTTAACGAGTCTGCGAGAGCTCTTTCCTCGGACAGTTCTTCGGCCTCCTGGTGAGCATTCTTCCTGCATTCCAGTCGAGACAGATGCCCGCGCGCAGACGCCAACACAACAACCCCTTTTACAGAGCGGCTTCCTTCATCGAAATAGTTTTTTTTCTTTTTCTGTTTCAAACTCGCCCTGTCTTACTTTGATTCTCCTCTGTGCTTTTCAGAGCTCTGCGATGCCCCATCGTTGAGGTACAGAACGTGCAGACCACGCGGCGTTGTTTGCATTCCGTAGTGACGCCCGGCTCTCAGCCCATAACAGAAAAAGACAGACAAAAACTCGAACAAAACAACAAAAAAACATTCGATTCAGAATACCCGTGCGTGCAACGTGCAACCAAACCTTAAAGAACTGCATACGGATAGGGTGAACCAAAGCGAAGGCTAC